TGGGCCCTGGCTGCCTGCAAGGCTCCGCCGCCCTGGAGGTAGGAAGCCTGCCCCTTTTGCAGAGAGGGCTGTCAAAGGCGTCCTGTACCTTTTCCTGGTGCCGGGCGCTTTTTTCCATCCTAGCCTGCAGTTCCTCCAATGCTGCTTGTCGCTGCCTCTGCTTCTCTTTGAAGAGGGAGACGCGGGCGGCTCTTGGAGTGCGCTGCATGGGAGGGCAGGCTGTTTCCTGGGGGGCACAGGAAGGCACCAGGGTTAGACTCCTCTGTTTGGGGAGGGGGCATGTTGGGAGGGGGTGGTGTTGGCTTTTGCTTTTCACCCTCTCTTCTGCCCCTGCTCTTGAGCCTCACCCACCGCTTGGCCCCTGCCGGCACGGCCGGAAAGCCGTTCGTTCTCTTAGGCCCTAACTGAGCAGTGCCTAAAAAAGCACTGGCACGTCTTCTATGCCTTCAAAGCCAAAGAGCCTCCACTTCTGTGAAGAACAGAACCCCAGAAGACTTTTTGCATGAGGCATTTCATGAGAAGGCAGAGTGAAAACACTGTGGCAAAAGTAGAGCCAAACTTGTAGCCTTTCGGGACAGCTCCTAAAGAGGCCACCGACTGTTCTAGTGACCACGTGCTGAAGGTCCTTTGCAGAGAGAGCCTCATAGTACTGAGCTTTTCCGCTAGTCAGTGAGCTGCAAGCATTACCCGGGGCCCCATCACGCACCTGTGCTGCAGCCCTGGGAGCAGCGGTGGCAGGGCCAGTCCGAGGTCTGGCGGGAGGATGCGGGAGGTGCTCAACACCCGCCTCCTTCTCCAGCGAGAGGGCCGTGACGTGGCCCAACAGGTTGATAATGGTCCTGAGAAGACACAGCGGGATGCATTAGGATGAGGGCAGGGGGCGTGTGCTCCCACAAGCAAGAAGATGGGGTTCACTGAAATCTAAAGGGGCTTGTTCCTGGAGAAGAACTTCTGCAATGAGGATTTGCAGTCAGCGCCCCAAAACATCGTGCCACTGGAGGAAAATTAAGGCAATGTGGGGCCGCGACGCAAACCGGCTCACGCTTGCCATGCAGCGAGACCGCAGCCTTGGCTGGGACGGGTGTCAGGAGCCTTTTGAGGCCCTAGGGCCAGCATGTCCAAAGGGGCCCTCTCTCCTGCACAGGTACAGGCGTGCCCCTCAGCCCTTCCGCCCAGGCTCTCACCTGGCAGCGGGCTTCTTCTCCGTGCCTTGCTGCCTCGTGCCTGCCCCCCAGCTTGGCAGCTTGGGGAGACAAAGCTCCTCCCGGGGCTGCAGGAGCTTGCCAGGACGCCGCTCTGTAAGTAGGAAAGGAGGAAGCTCTTCAGTACAGCCGGCTGAGCAGCCCATTTGAACCTGGCTGCCGTCACCCAGCGTGGGACGGGGACCCAACCTGGTGAGGAGGCAGCTTTTGCCTTACCTCTGCTGGGCCTGGCGCTCCTGAGCTCTTGCCCCTTTTTCTTCCTGCAGGGGGAGCCAGTGGGGGCAGCCTTGGCTTCTGGGCTGTCTTCCACCATGAGCTGAAACCTGGGAACCAAAGACAATGCAGGTGTGAAGAAAGGACACCATCTCCCCTTGGCGGCTTGCTGACACTAATCCTCCTCGCTGCCAACGGAGGCCTCCTCGCTTGCCATCTGCTTTGCGTCCATGCGCGCTTCTTTGGGGGTGTTTGGCAGTCTCCCTCCAAAGGCAGAGAGCCTGGCCTGAATTCCTGGGAGTTATTCCCAGCTCAGTGCTGAGCACGCTCCCGAGCAGGAGCTGGGAAGCCGTCCGCTCAGCGCACACTCACCTTGGGAACACGTAGACGGGTCTAGGCCGGGCCCATGGATTGGTGATCTTTGCACTGGGGACTGCCGGATCTGTCGCCCACGGTCTCTGCAATGCGGCACAGCCACGTTGGGAGGTTTGCAAGGCAGCTTTCTGCCTGCTCCCAAAGGCAGCAGCAGCCCTTCCTCCTGCTACAAGAGGAACCTGCTGCTCCAAACCCCTCTGCCATGCGCATTAGCTCCTCGCGCTGGTGTGGACACGCTGCACAGCAAAGATTTGTGAGCGGCAAATACTCGTGGGCAGGCTTTTTGTAGGGACAAGGATGAAGGAACTCGGGTGACGCTATCTTTGCGAGTGGAGAATTTGGTGGGGCCAAGCACTGGGGAAGGTGTTTGAGTAGCCGGCCAGGTCTGGGAAGGCCGAGAGAGGTCAGGTCGCTCATCCTTCGATAGGCTTCCCAAAGAAATGGGAGGAGGCCTGGAAACCTGAGCCACTTACACTGCGAAGGGCTGCAATGAGGCTTGCCGCGCTCTCCAGCCGTTGGATGCAGTTGGCATAAAACTTCATGCGCACTTTGTCTCCTTGGCGGGCCAGAACCCCGATGTCCCTGAAGACAAAGGAGACGTTCTCCTTGTACTGCAGGTGGGAAGAGAACAACTGGATGGTCTCTTCCACGCAGTCTTCCACCACAGGCCGTGGGAAGGAGGTGGCCAGGGACAACTGCCGGTAGTTCAACGGCTCGATCTTCATGTCGTCTGCAAGGAAGACGAACAACGTCAGTGCTACAGCAGGCCAAATTTCCATCGCTGGGCCATCAAGGAATGTGAGCGGCGTGGAGCCAGTTGCTAGGGTAGCTCAGGGAAAGAGAGCCCAGCCCGTCTTCCTGCGATATTCGCAGCAAAATGCTGCGGGGAAGGTCCTTCTCAGAAACAGCTCTCTGGGCAGTGGGTTGTCCGGGGGGAGCTGCAACTATTGCCCAGCCTCTGGAGGGAATTCCCTGCTTCTCGCAGCCCCTTGCAAAGAGCAGGGAGCACACCCCCGTCCCCCACGCACCGCCCTCCCGCCCCCCCCCCCCCAACACGTGGCAAGGGGAAGCGACTATTGCCCAGCCTCTGGAGGGAATTCCCTGCTTCTCGCAGCCCCTTGCAAAGAGCAGGGAGCACACCCCCGTCCCCCACGCACCGCCCTCCCGCCCGCCCCCCCCCAACACGTGGCAAGGGGAAGCGGAGGGTGGCCACTGCCGTCTCACCAGGGAGAGTCACTTTGGGGCGCTTCAGCCCCAGCGGCCAGACTGCATACATGCCCAGCTTGAAGATGGGTCTTCGAACCATCAGCACCTCTTCTGCCCCCAGGCACAATTGCTCTCGGACAGTACAGAAGGTGCCAAGCCCCGCTACCAGGACACCCTGCACACAGAGAAGACGAGAAGGCCGACGCGTAAGCGTTCTGGAGATGGAAAAAGTGAGGACTGTCAGCGTGGGGGGATGCTGCTCTGTGGTAGAGTGCTGCTGAGGTACAGCGCGTCAAGATGGAGCCCTTTGGAAAGCTTTGGAGAAGAGCCACCCTCTCCGGCTTTTGTCCTCACCCTCCTCCAAGTATTTCTTAACATCCCAGAGCTCAAGAAGATGCCAGGGCTCTCTAAGAGCACAGACACAGGAGAACGCCCCTGTCTCTGTGCTTGGTCTCGCCGTTCCAGCCACAGGGAAAAGAGAAGGCCCACGACGTGCCGAATGCTTTCTCACACTAGATCTGCACGTGGTTTCTCTCCCAGTCTGCCGAGGAGCTGCTCTGCAGCATAGCGGTGGGGGGCAGCGTGCTGCCATGGTGCTGGGGGAAGGCTTGCTCGCTGGGGCCCAGGGCTCTGTGGACAGCTGAAACCCCCCAGGGCGAGGGCGACGAGGACGCCAGCGCACCTTGTCCAGCATCAGCTGTTCCAGGATGTAATCGGACACAGCATCCCAAATTGCGACAACCTCTGGAAAGCAAGGGGAGAGACGTGTCAGGCCCCAGGTCAGGCAGCTCACACCCTCTCAGCAAGCTGCTCACCCAGGGGATGACAGATGGAGGCGTACGCAAGCCCTCCGAGAAACCACCGCCCCAGCTGCGGAGCTGGCCTTTGCCCCCATTTCAGGCTGCCAGCCTTACGCTGAGCCCAGGGCTGGTCCGGAGCAGAAACAGGGACGGGGGAGGGCTGTGGCCGCTTGACCCCTGGCAAGGGACACCATCTCCAAACCCAAAACACGCTCTGCCCGCTGGAGACACCAGAGGATCCCAGGGGGAAGAAACAGCGGTTGTCCCACACAAGAAGCTGCCTTGGATTGACTACACGGTGAAGGATTCCTTTGCAACAGGGGCATCTGTGGCAGGCACTAGAGAGCCCCGTGGGAGTGCCAGGACACCTCAGCCTGCTGGATAAGGGACCCCTTCCCCGCCAGAGTCAGGTCCCAAAGGGAACAGGGGCAGACCTGACCGTGGATTGCCACCCCGTGAGCGGAGGGAGCTGTGCCTGCAGCAGCCTCGGGGCTCAGGGCAGCCCCAGCACCTAGCCCTTACCCTCAGTGGAGAGCTGCAGGAGCGTTGGGAACAAGATCCTCTGCTCCGGGCTGATGGTCTCAGTCCAGCAGCCCTCCATCTCGCTTGCCCCCTTGTCCTCAGCTCGCCTCTCCAGCATGGGAAAAAGGACGCCCTTCCCGCCTCCTTGCCCCAAAACTCCTCTCCAGCGTGCGCCCGCCTCCAGCTGCCTCCCGTCCCCGCTCGTTGCCACGGGGCGGCTCCGAAGGGTAGCGGTGGGGAGCACCGCGACCAGTGCCCAGCAGTGCCCAGGCCTGGCAAGGAAGTGCGAGCCCTGCTGCGCCGTGGAGGACAGCACTGGGGAAGGATACCTCCTTGTGATGCAGCATGTCCCATTGTAACCTCAGCCCGTGTCATCTGGGGGTTCGTTAGGTCACCGGCACACAGATGACACATCCCGGGAAGGAGTAGAGGGATTTCTCCTCTCGCCCTGGGAAGCAGGCACCTCCCTTCACCCCAGCTATTTGGCAAAAGTCGCTGACAGGTACATCGGCAACGTCTGTAAAGGGTGCCAAAGCCTGTGAAATACCAACAATGGGGCACTGTGGAAGCCGTTTCCGCCCCCAGGCACTGACAGGTCTCTGCTACAGGGAACCCTTGCCTGTGGTGTAGCTTTGCTTGCCGGGCTACTGCTGGCTGGTACAATTGCACCAAGATGTGAATTCCCCTTGCCTAGAAACACCCAAATTCTTCCTCCTACTTCCTCTGCTGGGAGAAATCAGCCCAGCCTCTTCTTGATCCGATGGCAAAAGAAAGAAGGAAAACCGGAAGCAAGTGTCAGATATAAAGTCATCTGTAGCGGGCCATGCTGTTACAGACTCACAGACTCACAGACTCACAGACTGGTTGAGGTTGGAAGGGACGTCTGGAGATCATCTGCTTGAGCCCTGCTCAAGCAGGGTCACCTAGAGTACGTTGCCCCGTATCGTGTCCGGGTGGCTTTTGAACATCTCCAAGGAAGGGGACTCCACAACCTCTCTGGGCAGCCTGGTCCAGGGCTCAGTCACCCTCCCAGGAAAGAAGTTTTTCCTCACGTTCAGACGGACTTCCTGTGTTTCAGCTTGTGCCCGGTTGCCCCTTGTCCTATCACTGGGCACCACCGAGCCCATTGCTGCCTCACGCTCAACTTGTTGTCCCCCAGCACTCCCAGGTCCTTCTCCGCAGAGCTGCTTTGCAGCAGGTCAGCTCCCAACCTGTGCTGGTGCGTGGGGCTATTCCTCCCTAGGTGCAGGACCCTGCACTTGCCTTTGTTGAACTTCAGGAGGTTGCTCTCTGCCCATCTCTCCAGCCTGTCCAGGTCCTTCTGAATGGCAGCACAGCCCTCTGGGGTATCAGCCACTCCTCCCAGTTGCGTATCAGCCGCAAACTTGCTGAGGAGGCCCTCTGTCCCTTCATCCAGCTCATTGATGAAGTTGTTGAACAGGAGTGGACCCGCTATTGACCCCCCCCGGGGGACACTGCTAGCTACAGGCCTCCCAGTCGACTCTGTGCCGCTGAGCACAGCCCTCTGAGCCCTGCCTGGCGTTGCCCCGGGGAGCAGAAAGCGGTGCTGCTGGGCCCAGCGTTATTTCAGAAACGCCGGCGTGTAAGGGCCTTTCCAAGAACCTGCCTTGTTCCCTTTCCGTGGTCGATAACACTGAGCTTGCGCACGGCTGCTTCTTGAACGCTCCCTCAGGGAGGAACTGAGCGTTGGGGCCCCCCTGAGGAGGGCGCGGCCCCCTCATTGCCTGCGCACGAGGCCGGCAGACCTCACTTTGAGAGTTTGGCTTTGCCTTTTGCAAGGAGTATTAGAAGGGAAAAGCCCCAGCTCCGCTGCAACGCAGGAGTGCTAGCGGGGCAAGGCGTGAGGCCTCAGAGAGGGGCAGAGAGGCTGGTGAGGCAGGAATGAGGGAAGGGTCAGAGGAGAATGGGAAAGAGAGAGACCCCAGCAAGCAGACAGGCACCAGACAGCACCGGTGGGAGCTGCTGCACTCTCGTGCTGGCTCTCGGCCCCAGAGGTGCCTTCCCTGGGGTCTGGCCAGCCTGTGGGTCCGTTCAGGCTTTGTGCTGGGGGAAGGTGGCTCCAGGCCATGCCAGGGAGTGGCCACCGTCCGCCAGGGCCATCCTGGAGGAGAAACCGCAGCGTTTTGTAGTGGGACAGGGCGAGCAAAAGACTCGGAGCCCAAGGCAGAGCTCTGGCAGCATTTTGGCGGCTGAGTCACAAACTCTCCCCGCAAAACCTTCCCCTCATCTCTTGACTAGCAAGAGAGTCCCTAAAACGTCCTGCTAGGGCATGGCCCAGAGCAAGAGCCTCCCGGGACGGGGGCTGCCTGCTCTCCTTGCACCCACGTGCCCCTTTCGGGTCCCTCCAAAGCTGCCCTGCCGCCCCTTGCAGTTTCACACCCCACCAAGGAAAGGCTCACACCAGCTCGGAAAGGCAGTTTACTTCCAGAGCAAAAACCCCTTTCCGTTGTCACCGCCCAGCTTGTGGTCCCGCTGCTCGTTGCTCTGGAGGCTGCACATCACCAAAGCGCTGAGGGGTTGAGGAGAAAGATGTTGAGCCACTCGTGGCGCGCAGGCGCCTTCTGGAAATCCAGTGGCGCATCCCGGCCCCCCACCCCGTTTCAGTGGAAGGGATGTGTGAGTCCAGGCCAAGCTCCAGAGCCGCTTCTGTGCCCTGGGGTGGGGGGTGGGGGAGGGCACAGGAAAAGACCCTCTTTCTCCCCCAGGCCGTGGCACAAAGGGCTTTGCAGGAGGGGGGAACCCTGCCTGGGTTGGGAGCTATTTACCGGCGATCCTCCTCCTCCTTCTTCAGCCTCTGGCGGTTTTGCTCCACCTTTTCCTTCCAGCTGTCCCGAAGAACTTTGTAGGATGCCGTGAGCTGCACGCTCTGCTTTGCTCGCGGCGACAGTTGCCTGCAGCAGGAGTAACAAAGTCCCTCTCCCGCTCTCCTGGTACCCTTTGGGCCTCTTCCCTCCCCAGCCCCTGCACACCCACACCAGCAGAAATCAGGGGCTGTCGCATGCCACGCCCCGGAGCTGAGGGATTTGGGGTGCCGGCACCTCCAGGGGGTCATGGCCCACCAGCCCAAGCCCCTGCTGGGTAGATGTGCTGTGGGATGCAGCAGTGCTTAGGGTGGGCATGGCGTGAGATGCTTAGGTGAGCCTCAACGCTCTTTTTTTAGTGCGTGTTATTCATTTTCTAGAAATAGGCTGTGTTGTGTGTAGGGAGATATGGGAGAGGACAGGATAGAGCTGTCCTCGTGCAGTCATCAAACCAGGCTCTTGGCTTTTAAATGTCCTCGGCAAGGTTTCTCAGCCTACAATGCTCAAGGTGGAGATGCTGTGGATGAGAACAGTAAACATGCCCTTCACACAGTGTCCCCAGGGCTTTCTCCAGGACCCTGGGCCTAGCCAGGCTCTTAGGCCATGAGCTAGGCCAGGAGGGCAATTCCCGTTTTCTCTGGATTTTGCCCAGCTTTGTTGCTGAGCGATTCTGGGGAAAGCCATTTCTCATCTCAGGGCCTCAGTCAGTCCTGGGGCTGTTTAGTGTCAGCCAAGGGCAGCACTTCTCTCCAGGGGTGTCCCTCCAGCCACTGGCACCCTGCAATCCCCCTGGGCACCCCAGCTTTCTCAGGACGGGGGCTAGACAGCCCCCGACACCTTGCATATCCCCCATTCGTGAAACTAGGCTTCTCAGGACACGCCCACACACTGCACTGCTGCTGTCCCACCTCGGGCATGAAGCCTTTAAAGAGAGGCAGGGTGGCAAGACCTGCCCTTTGACTAATTCAGCACTTTGTAAGAATACCAGCTGCCAGCTCCACAGCTCCTGAAGGCTGAGAACATCCCTACAACCAACGTACCTCCTCTTCCTAGTCTCTGCACAGTTGTGGGACGCCTCTTGCAGAAGGAAGACTTTGTGCCCCTGCACTTCTGTCAGAGAAGCAGCTTTCCACATCACTGTGAAAGGAAGGATTCCTGTAGTGCTTGGGGTTGCTCCTTCAGCCTGCCCACCCCACCTCCAGCGCTGTGAGCCCCGCTCTGCATCCTGAGGTCTCTGCCCATTCTCTGCTGCACGCCTGCCCAAAGGCTCCTGAACATGCCAGGGCTGCGGCTCCCCATTACCCAAGTATTTCTGTAGAGAGCTCCCTTGAAGCTGTGGCCCGCGGTGCTGAGGCCTTGTGAAGGCTGGTCTGGGACATGGAGGCTGGGGCAGGGCTAAGGGTGTGCTGCTGTCTGCTTCAGAGTGATGCCGTATTTTGGGGGTGTTTGTGGGCTTGGGAGTGTTGCTGGGTCTGGGGGATGGCACCAGGCATAGGGGATGTTGCCAGTTTGGGGAGTGTTTCTGTGTTTCGTGGGTGTTTCTGGCTTTGGGGAGTGATGTGAATTCTAGGGGGATGCTTCTTGGTGCAGTGGTGTTGGTGTTTTGAGGAGGTGTTGCCAGGTGTGGGGGGTGTGTGTCTGGGTTGAGGGCGATTTCTGGCTTTGGGCAGTGCACAGGGTGTTTCTGGGTTGGGAGGCTGCTGCAAGTTTCAGGTGTTTTTCCTGAGACTAGGGGCATTTGTGGGTTTGGGATGTGCAGATCCCTTTGTGAGGGTGGCAGCAGGTCTGGGGGTGTTCTGGGTTTTAGTGTTTTGTCTGGATTTGTGGAATGTTGCCAGCTGTCAAGAGTGTTTCTGGATTTGGGGGTGTTGCTGGGTTTGGGCAATGGTGCCAAGCATAGGGGGTGCCAGCACCAGCCAGTGACGTGAGTGCTTGTGGTTAATGCAGAGCTGTTTTCTGATCTGAGGGTGTGAGCTTTGTAGCTGAGCTGTTTGCCTGCTGGGTTCATCATCCTCCCCCTGGGGAGAGCCAGAGGGCTCAAGCAGTGTCAGTAGCTGCTGGCCAAAAGGGTGTTTGCTGGCCTAGCTTCCGAGCCTTGTGGGCTGTCTTGTCTTGGTTCAGTTAAAGATCTGGCTTGGCCTGTGTTGTTTACTCCGTCCTTGTGCTGGAAGCTGCTACCCTTTGTCAAGAGAAGGGAGTTGAATCCGTGGCTGAGCTCAGAGCCAGGCATGTTTGCTGGAGTTGTGTCCTCGACCTGCAGGCAAGGGGTAGCCTCATGGGCCTCATCGGCAGTGCAGCCCTTAGCACAGCTGGTGGTGCTGGTGCATCCCAACAGTTGGCAGTCACCTGGGGTGCCTGCAGCCTGAGGTACCACACTGCAGAACAATGTGGCAATAGTGGTCAGGAGGGAAATGACGATGCCAAACCTCTCAGCTCTGGTAGAACTCGGTGGCAACATGGCCAGAAGAAGTAAAACCCAAGACAGTCGCGATGAATCAATGGGACATGATTGGATGAAAGGCAATGAGGCTTGGGATTGGTTTCAAGTGCTGCTGCCAGGGAAGAATGATGAAGGACCTATAAAAGCTTCAGGCCATCTTGTGTGGCATGGACCCTGCTGCGGACAGTTGGCCTGACCACAGGTCCCCCAGCTGATGTGAAGGGGACACCTACACTGTAGCGATGGGAAGCTGGGCTTTGGGGGTTGGTCTGGGATAGGGGTTTTGTAGGGTGTTCCCAGTATGGGGAGTAGTAGTTCTGTGGGAAAGAAAGAGGGTTACAGAAACCAGCTAGAGAATGTAGTTTGACAATGCACCTTCAAAATAGGCCCAAGACTCAGCTCAACTTAAGAAAAATCCTTTTTAAAAAATCTCTAGGGTTTTAAAATTTATTCTGAGAGTAGTCAAGTCGAACTTAGAGCTCCAAGTGGCTATGCAGCCATCACTCACAAATGTGAGGCCCTCACTCCCAGCACCACATCACCCTCACCCATGTGCTCTCAAACTCATCCACCTCTTCTCCTAAATCAGACAGGCAGAGACATACACAGCGCCAAAGCAGCTCCCACACCCCCAAGCTCTCCTCCCACTGCTCCCTCCACCACCACTCGCTACCCCCCACCACCGCTTTTGGCTGCCCACAAAGCCCTCTCGCAGCCCCACAGGCTCCAAAGCATACATTGCAGAATGGCCAGGATGGTCAAAAGCCTTCCCAAGTGTGCTTTTTCCTACAGCTAAAAGGTTGGAAACGCACAGCAAAACCCCCCCCAGCCCCACTCGCCTGCCAGCTGTTCCACACCTCCATCTCACACCTCCAGGAACCTGTGCACTCAGACAGATTCCTCCGCATCCTGAGGACAGGCCTGCACTGCCCCCTGCCAGCACACCCCAGACCACATACAGCCACCCTTGGCTCCTGACACCCAACAACATCCCTGCTCTGCCTCAGGGACACCCCACATGCCCCCACAGCCAGACATGCCACAGAAGGACCCAGTGGAGGACCCTAAAGCTGGAGAAGGAAGGGGGACCCGGACATCGGGCAGAGGGAGGAAAAAGCAGCATAAAGCAGACCCCAAGACCACAGCAGGAAGGAGTAGGGCAAAGACCCCTAAACTCAAAAGAGGATCTTGCCCAAAGCCCAGCTCTGAGGTTGAAATTTCCACTGCCCAAGAAGAATAAAGCCCCTGGGCCAAAGCCTAAATACAAGCAAATGGGTAGGGGTGGAGAGAACCCAGGCACCAGGCCTCTGCCAAATCTGGGAGACCTGAACTGGGGACCCTGAGATCAGCTCCATTGCCCTCCCATGTCCTTAGATCAGCTCTGTTCCCATCCAGGCAGGTCAGCAGGGACCCGGGGGCACCCCAAGAGCGCCCTGAGATGCCAGGGAAGCTGGCCCTGTGCCCTGCGGAGACGTGCCGACTCCTCCCGGCACAGGGCAGGGGGGACATGAGGGCCCTTTGTGACCTCTTCTATGACACACCATGGTGCTGCCGGGCACCGGCCTCAGCCCTGCAGTGTCTGGGAGGACGGCAACAGGAGAGGGCGGGAGCACGCACGCGGATCTGGTGGAGCAGCCCCCAAGCACAGCCGCGTCGTTCCCCGCTGCCCTGAGCAGCCCCACGGGGTCGAGCACATCCCTGAGGTCTCCCAGCACCGGGCCAGGTAAGAGGGATGGGGACAGGGCAGAGGCACAGAGGCGCCACAAGGCCCCTGGAACACGCCGGAAAGGGCTGAGGCACAGGATAGCGGTGCCAGGGCCCAGCACGTCCGGGGCGGGCAGGGGTATGTGGCACTGTGCCAAGCCTGCCAGGGGCAGCAGACGCTTCCAGCTGCCCCAGAGCCCTGTCACCTGACCCTCACCACTCAAGGGAAAGCTGCTGCCCAAGCTCGAGCCCCCGAGTCCCTTTGCAGGCTCTTTGGGCCCTCGCACTGGCAGCACAGAGATGGGGCCAGGCCTGGCTGCGGGCTCCCCCCTCCCCAGCCTCAGCCTTTTGGCTGTCCTGTAGGATGGCAGAGAGACCCCCCTGGCGTCCCAGGGTGGCCTGGGAGGATAGAGACTCCTTGAGAGGAGGAGGAGGACGGAGCTGGAGGACAGGTGAGTGAGCGGGCACTGATGAGCTGGGCAGGGCTGGCGGGAGGCAGGCCCGTCCAGCTCTGCCCCAGCCTGATCAGGCTAGGCAGAGGGTCCAGCTTTTCCCTCTGCTCTCTCCTGCCAGCCCCTACAGCCCTGCCTGCTCTCTTTCATTAGCAGATCCAAGCTCTTCTGCCTCCAGCTCCTTGGCTCTGCCAAGGGAGGAAGAGGAAGCCCTGACATTCATCCGAACCTTTGTCAGAAGCAGAGGAAAGGTGCCTGCCGACATTTCCATCAGGGCTGTGCCTGCATCTTCTGGCGGGTCTCTCTGTGTCTGGTCCAGCTGCCGGAGGGCTGCTGGTGGTGCAGACCTGCTCCCCTCCAGGCGCCCTGCACGTTTCTGCGTGCCACAAAGCTCTGGTCTTGTTGGCCAGGCCCCTGCCACTCTCACACTCTCTGTCATTCTCTCTCCTCCGTGGCTGTCAGGAAGAGGCCCAGAAGCTGAGGTTTCTGGACTGCATCTGTACCCTCTGCAGAGCTGCCAGCACAGATTCCATTGTGCGGACACAGTTTTATCCCCTCAGACTTCAGGTGGTAGAGACAATTGAGGTGAGAGGACACCCAGTGGGCCTGAGGGAGGGGGCAAGGCTAGCTGGGCACCTGCACATGAATGAGGACAGGCTGGGGGTTGTGGGGCAGGGGAGGTGTGGGAAACACACTCATGGGCACAGACCTTCTCACCACAGGGCTCAGGGGGGCCACTGAGAAGCCCTGCAAGCTGGGCCCTGGGCGACGAGGACCGCTCTGCATGGGATGGGGCCACATGGGCTCTGGCAGCCCTGCAGACTGCTTGCTGGGCACTGGCAACTGCCATGTCCCATGCTGGTTGTACTCTCCAGGTGCTGCTGCAAGAGGAGCCCACTGACCACCTGGGTACTGCAGTGCGGCTGCAAGCAATGCTTGCCATCACCGCAATGAGGTACCTGCCCCAGCCCCTGCCTTGGCCAAGGCCTCCCCATCATGGGGCCCCGATGGCACCAGTGCCAGCTGGGAGGCATCCTGCATCGTGGGGGAGTCTGCTGGTGCCATCTGCTGGGCCTTGCTTTCTCCCACACTGGGCCCGAGAGAGGGGCAGGCAGGAGGGCAGACGGTGCCTGAGGACTTCACAGTATCTCCCAGCTTTTCCCCCTCTGGTGCAGGCAGGAGATGGAGAGGGCACTGGGCCCCACCAGCCAGGACTGTCCGCCTGCCAAAGTGTAGGAGGATCGCCCCCCCCCCCAGAGCCTCCCCACCTACTAGGGGTATCAGCCTGGGGTGTCCTGCCCCAAGGTCTGCACCCACCTTCCCAGGGCATGAGGGTACTGCTGCCAGCCCCAGAGTCTGAAAGGCACCTCTTCCCTCCTTGCAGCAAAGTCAAGCTGCTGCTGGATGGCAAAAAGAACAGCCTCCTCCACAGCTGCTTCTGCAGCTTCTTCTCCCTTCCTGCAAGAGAGGACATGCAGAACCTGGATGCTTCCCTCTACTCCAAGGTATGTACTGGTGAGCTACGGGGAAGCCTGCCAGTCCTTCTGGCCCCGGCCCTAGCTACCCTCCACTGATAGATGAGCCAGGACAGAATCCCAGCGTTGCTTTCCCACCATCAGTCCTTCTTCTCCTTCCTCTGGACTGGGCCACGTGCAGTGCCCACAGGCGTGGAGCAGCTCCCCTGCCCCGAGGCCTCTCCCCAGGCACTGCAGGGCCATGGATGTCCCTCTCAGGCAGTCCTTTCAAGCCTTTCTCTTGCACGTAAGAGAGCCCAGGGAAGGCATGAGCCCTCTGTGTCCCTTGCAGACCCTGGAAGCCATGGACAGCATGCTGCAGGCGATGGCATTCAGCTCTCCCAGCTCTGCCCTCCTGGAGATGCAGAACATCTTGCAGGTCTGGCATTGGCAAAAGGGGGTCCACAGGGTCAGTGCCTCACGCCCAAGGGAAGCAAGCCTCTGGAGGGGACATCCCCCCACAGCACCAGGCACAGGGAGCATGCTGCAGGGAGTGAGGAGCAGGGCTTCCCTGCCATGCTCTCCTGTGAGCCCGTAGTCTCCTGACTGCAGAGGCCCTTCTCCCACACACCCCACTGCTGCAGCATAACAGCAAAGCTTTGCCTGCTTCCCCTCCTAGCCCACGCTCCCCTAAAACCTTGCCTTGCATGAAAGCAGGGGGAGGAGTTGGACCTTCCTTCTGAGGCCCCACACAGCTGGCCACTGGCACTTGCTGGCCCCTGACTCCCCCTTGTTCATGCTCTCCTCCCCATATCTGAGCAGGGCAACGACCTGCCAGGACCTGCCTGTCCTACAAAGGGAGCCCAGAAGCTTTGTTCCTCTGGCTTTGTAAGGGGCCATATCCCAGAGTCTCCATTGCAGGTGCCCAGGGCAGGGCTTGCCCCAAAGCCTTCTGACCCTGGTGAGGGCAAAAGGGCCATTTTTGGAGGCATGAGTGGAAAGGAGCAGGGGCTGCAGTAGGCATGGGATCCAGCTCCCTGTCTGGCCACAGCAGATCCAGCTGGGGAATTTGTCCTATAGGCTGCAAGAGACTCTAAGGGCAAGTGTCCCATTACAGGCTTTGCTCCTGCTCCAAGAAGCCACAGTGTAAACCCAGCCAGGCACTTGGCAGAGCTGCTCTCTTGGAGCAGCCATTGAGTTGCGAGGCACAGCAGCAGCTTTTCTCCTTGCAGGTCCTGCTGCCATGCACCGAGTCCCAGCGAGCAGCTGAGCGTGAGAGGGCTGTGGGGCGGATTGCTAGGCTGAGCAATTTCCTGACCAGCTCTTCCTCACTGGTGGTAAGGAGACGCTGGTCCAGGCAACCTCCAGCCATCTCATCACCCCTTGCCCGTGTCCCAGAGTTCCTTGAGCTCCGGGCTCCCTCCAGGGGAAGCCTGGGCACAGGTTAGGGCACTCAGCAAGGCTCTGCCCTGAGGCTAAGGTCTTTGCCCTCCCTCTATGGGCTTCTCTCTCCAGTCTCTGTTCCCTCAGGAGCCAGCTCTGCCTCCAGCACTATGCAGGGTATGACTGCCCTGGGCACATGCCATGAGCTGAGGTCTGGCAGCCCTCCCTGCCCTGGGCTGCCACCTAGCTACTTTGGGAGCCAGGGCCTGCAGGGGCCTCCAAAGCCCCAGTTCACCTGGTGTGCAGCCTCGGATGGACCTTGGGTTTGCTCCTGGACCCAACTGCCTCCCCTCAGCCCTGGTACCAGTGCTGCCTCCCTCCCCCAGGTCTGCCCCCACTTTGCGGAAGTCAAAGGCAGGCAAGCCTGCTCCAAAAAGCAGCATTTTGCAATGCTGGGGCGGCTGGTGGGACGTCTCACCCTGTGCTGCACCTGCAAGGACCAGGGGACCAGCTGTGAGGCTGCAGAAGCTCTTCATAACCTGTACATCTTCATCCTGGAGCAAAGAAGTAAGAGAAGCTGTGTTGGCTAGGTCCTCCCAGACACAGACAGCCAGGCCAGGCCCCATGCTGCCCTGGCCACTCACCTTGGCAAAAGAAGGAGCAGGAAAGCCTTCTGACGTAGGTGCCGGGCAGCAGTTGTGCTGTGTCAAGCCCAGGCCCCACGCAGCCCTGGCTTAGTGTAGCAGGCCCATAAACAAGAGGTCATGGGTGACGTGAAGCGCATCCGCCTCCTTGGGGAGGGAGGGGACATGCATGCAGTAAGAAAACTGCAGGCACCTCACGGTCTTCATCCAGGGCTGTCACATCCCTTGGAGCAGTGGTGTAATCCCTGGCCTGGTTACCAGTGGACTGGAAAACCTTCAGCTCCAGAAGCAACTCCTCGGGCTTCTCTCTTGCTTCAGATCAGAAAGTCTGATCAAACTCGTCTGCCTGTCTGTATTCTGAAAAGCAATCTCCCCTTCTACCATCCTTGCAATAAGCCCAGACCCTCCCAGGAATCCTGTTCTCCATACATTTCCAGCATGCCCTCTTTCTCTGCCAGTCACAGTTCTGTCTGACACCTTCAGACTGCCATCGCCAACTCTCCGTCCTTTCTGCTGACTGCCCTGCCCTGTTTCCTCTCCTGTGCAGGCAGATGGCTGCCAAAGCATAGTGCAGAGTCTCTGCAGTGCCAAAAGGACTGGGAAGCGTGGAACACCTGGCTTTCACAGTCCAAAAACATCGGTGAAATCACCTCGGTAAGGAGTGCCTCCCTGGGTGGGACACCTGGCTATGGAGTCAGCATGAGACTTGGATGAACAAAGGGATCTGTAATCAGTGGGGCTGAGAGGGTCTCCGGGGGTTGCTGTGCCAGCCCTGCCCCGCATCTCTCCCCAGAGCCTCTCTCGCTGCTCAGCCAAGCCCTACCACTGAGGTACTCAGCGTGTCGTATCTTCTCTCCCCTCCTTTCTTCCATAGTTGTTTGGGAAATACCTCCAGCCCGCCGAGAAGACAGATGTCATTGTCGCTGCCATTGAGGGCATGAGAGCACCAAGCGTCTATGATGCACAGGTGGCTGCCCACATGCTGGATGTGCTTGTGGCAGACCCTGCCTCCCAGCTGGGGCATGTGAGTAGCCTGTGGGTGACGAGGCCAGGCTCGAACCCTCTGGAGGATTGTTTCCTCTCTAAATCCCCGTCTCCCAGGCAGCCAACTCCATTTCATGCCAGCATAGAGCGGTGGGAAGGGAAGCAGTTCTCTGTGAGAGGTGGGGAAATGGCTATGCCCTGGTGAGAGACCCCTCATCCATGTCCCCTCCAGGTGCCACACATCGTGAGGTGCATCTGGAGAAACCTGATGTCCATCAGGGAGGTGTTGGCCCAGAAGAGCCTGGACAGGACCCTTCTCACACTGACCTGCAAGTACACCAGAGAAGTGGTCCTGAGCCTGCTGCACTGCTCCCCAACATGCGACAGGTATGGGGCCCAGCAGCCTTGAGGGCTCATTTTGCCTTGAGAGGGGAGGTCCAAAGACACTCAGGCTGCCAGAGAGAGGGAGATTTTCAGGATCACTCTGACGGGGGAGGGCGCTCCATCACTCCCATTTCCAAGCCCTGGTGTAGCAGCCAGGCCTGCAGCAGCCAGAGGTGACCAAGTGTCCCTGCCTTGAGCCTCAGAGCCCAGCTGCCATGCACCCTCCCTGCACCACAAGGGACTATAGCTGGGCCATCTGCAGGGCCTGCTGGGTGCTCATGGCAAGGGGGGAGCAGGCCTAGAAGGGATGCCGGCTAAGGCAGCCCTGCTGACAGTGCTCTGGGCCTGCAGCGCCGCCATGGCCATGTGGAAGTTAATGGTCTCCAAGAGCCAGGCTACAGAGAAGGTACTGCAGGAGCTACTACGTGTGCTGGGGAACCCATCACTGCGTGAGAACTCCACCTCCACCGAGTACAACCCACGCATCCTTTCGCTGGCTGTGAGTTGCTGGACAAGGCCTCACTCACCCCAGGGCTCTGCTCACCTCTTCGGGCTAGAGGCAGGGTGCCCTCTCCCCTTCCCTGTCCTCCCTAAGCCTTGAGCTCCCCTGGGGCACGCAGACACAAACGCCAAGCCTGCCAGGCTCCACCATCCCTACAGCCCCCTGCCGCTCTTGGAAAACTGGAAACCTGGGTTTGAGGCCACATTAGGGTTGGTTAGGGGCCAGAGCAGAGCCACTGCACAGCCCAGGCAGGCTGCAAGGGCTGGCACAGGGAAGCTAGGATAGCCTGCAGTTTACATGAATCCTGCTGAGGTTCACACTGCCCCAGGAAGGCTCACGGTGCCCACATGACAAACAGGAGCTGAATCAAAAAGCCTCTGTGATTTGGCCCTGGCCAAGCAGCCAGGCAGGGAGCCCCATCTGCATCTCCCATGGCCCAGGGCTGCACCTGAGCCTCAACCCCCAAGCTCAGGCTTTGCCACAGGGGCATCTCAGCAGCGAGCATGGTCTCGGGGTGTTTTCTGCAGGCAGCCACAGCACTACATGAGATCTTCCAGCAGCGCATCTCCCCACGGGAAGTGAAGGCGATTTTCCCCCAGCTCTTCCTAGCGCTACTCTCCCAAGTATCCTTCTCCACGGAACTGACCCTGCAGGAGGTTAAGATCTTCGGAAGTGAAAGCCAACAGGATCAGTCTGTTCCCACCAGCCCCATCAGGTGCTCTGTCCCCATCCTCCTATCGCTCCCATAGAGCTGGAGCCAGGGCTGGGGTTCCTGATATGACCTGGGCTTTTCTCCGCATGCAGGTGCACAGTACAGGCCATAAAAGCGCTGCTGTGCTGTGCTGGCTTTAAGAAACAGGTGCATTTCATCGAGAGGAAGGGTGGCTGGGATGCCCTCCTTGACGATGAGACCCACCTCAGGGGAGTGTCTTTGCTGGCCAGGTGAGTGCCCCCTTCTCGCCACTCTCTCCCAGTATTTCTCCCCTGGAGATGGGGTGCCCCACACAGTCCCCTTCGTCATGGGTGACAGAAGGGTCCCCAGTTCTCAAAGAAAATGGCTGCAGCCTCAGCACTTGTGACTGAGGGGTCACAGAGTGGAACAGCAATGGGACCTCCTGCTCTGCTGCTGCCCAGCTCTGAGAGCAGCTGCGGAAGAGCCAGTGTTTCCAGGCACGAGACAGGGCGATGCACAGGAGCAGTCACCTCCCAAAGCCCTGGAGGTGGGCCTGGGCTTATGCCATGGAGAGCACCGGGGTTTGTCTGCAGGCAGTGTCACCAAGGGCAGCCCACCAGGAAAGGTAGATGTGTCAGAGGGCCAGACTTCATGGTCAGAAGGGTATTTTTCTGGCCTCCCGTCAAAATGAGCCTAATGATGGTGCACACTGGCTTTTGAATGGCAAGCTGTGGTGGCGAGAGATCACTCCCCCACGAGCAAACGCTGCTAGAGCTGAGCATGCATGTGGCCTTCCCCCGGATGTCCTGGGATAGCAGCTAGACTTGGCAGTGCAAAACCCAGAAGCAGTTTGCCTGCCCAGCTCAGGACTGATGGTGCCTTCTGCCCACTGCCAGAGAGATGGTAAAGACCCCACGACGCCTGCGTTCCTCCATCTTCTGCCATCTGGCAGCACTGCTCAGCAGCGAGAACTGTGCCTGGGAGGTCGTCGCTATGGCTTTCTTCATCGAGGTGAGCCAGATGGCAAGCAGTGCCTCGCTGAGGTGCCTCTGACCACTCTCCTCTCTTGCACCCACAGCTGTCGGGTGGGTGCCAGTCAGTGGAGCTGGGGCAGTGAATAGGCTCCTATTCGTACCCTTGGCCTTGGCCTAGTTCTGCTAGGGTAGCACTTGTCACCACCTGTGTTTGGTGCCTCCTTGGTGCCCGTTCTCTCTATTCCATCACTCCTCAAAGGCTTGAGAAGCAGCAGCTGCAGATGGCTGGGAGGCACAGGCAAGTGATGAGTGCGCTGTGCCATGAGGCCCAGGGCAGGGAGTGGGGCCACGAGGGCTCTGCCCTATCACTGCTGCCTCCATCCTGGGCTTTGCCCTGGCCTGGTGCTCCCTGAGCAACTGCACGATGTGGGGAGTCCTGCCAGCTCTGAGAGTCTCTCCCTGCTGTGTGTTTCAGCTGCTGGTGTGCACTGACCTTAGCAAAGAGGTTGACTGTGTCCTGGACCTCTTCCCAATGTATCTGCGGAGTCAGCACCTGGGGATGCGCAGCTTGGTGCTCAGAGGCCTCCTCACACTGTCCGAGAGACCTGAAATGGTGAGCAGGAGGCAGCCAGGAAAGCCATGCTAGCAGCCTGGGGTTGGGCAGGGGGCAGTGAGTTAAGGCAGTGGTTTGGACTCTGCTGGGCATCGGGAGCTCTGTTAGCTGCTCCCAGCTCCCCTGCTGCCGCAGGGACAGCCCAAGCTGCCACTCAGGTGTGGGAGAGAAGGGAGCTGCTAATCAGATGGTAAGGAGCCTGTGCTGCCCTCCCCTCTCTCTCTGCACCCTGCTCCCCCACCTCCGTGTGCCTGTGCCCATAAGTGCTGCTGGACAGGAGGTTGCTGCAGTAATTCCCATGCTTCCAGCCAGGAAGCCAGAGGGGCGGCTGGGGATTAAGTGGAGTGGTTTTGGGCCAATGCAACCACTCATTGCAAAAAGGAAGTTGTGTGTGTTGTGTGTTTCATGCAGGCAAGAAAACTGGACATCCTGCTGCCAGACATCATGGAGCAACTGCAGGCTGCTGACAGCGACCTCAGTGCAAAGGCGCTGCCTGTCCTCAGCAACGTGCTCAGTCTCGTGGGCAGGCAGATGGCCAGGCCCATCGTTCTGCAGCTGGCTGAGGAGCTCCAGCCACTCTTTGATGATGTAAGGCTGGCAGGAGAGTCTGAGGCTCTGTTAGCGTGGCCATGGCACATAAGTGCGTGGCCCCAGTGTGGCGCGTCCCTCTCTGCATGGGCCCGCTGACTTGTGAATTTGTGCCTCCCACCACGTACCCTGTGGCCTGGGGGACATTTTGCTCTGCGGTTCTCAGGCCGCTGCCCTTTCCTGCGCTTGGTGTCCTGCGCAGCAGGACTGTGTCAAAGCAGCCCCGTCTCTGCCCTCAGCTGCTCCATATCATGCTTACCCCCTGCAGAACTTGCCATAGCCTGGGGCCGAGGCAGCAGAAAGCCCAGAGCAGGCCTGAGAGCGAGGGAAAGGCCATGCCCCATGGCCTTTCTGTCACCCTCTTCTGCCTGGGGACACTGATGGAAATAAAGAAATACCCCTCCCCAGAAAGGAGAGGCAAGAGAAGCTTGTCCTGCTGCTGCAGGACAGCCCCAAAACTGCTGGCTCCCTCCATAATGGACCTGCTCCCAGCTTGCCCCTCCTGCCAGGGTGGGGGAACGGTAGCAGTAGGACGAGGCCTCGTGCTAGCGCAGCCCACGCTCATGCTGAGTCCTGCAGATGCACTGTCCATAGCGCCACCTTTCCCTCAGCCCTTTGCAGCCCACCATGGCTTCTCCCTCTCCGGTTCCCATCCCCACACAATCCCAACCCCTATGCTGAGCGCTGCCTGCCCAGCCCACGCACTGACCATCTGCAGGCCAAAACTTGCTCTGCAAGCCCAGATGGCCCTCCTGGGCACCACTGCCAGATATGACCACATGCTCTCACCACTCACCGGGGCAGGCAGGTGAGGCCTTGAGTGGGTGGCAAGTACCCAGGAGCCGATGCAGAGGGCCAGCACAGTCTCCTCCTCGATGCATCCCCTGGGGGAGCTCCTCTGCAACTCAGCGGGAGTTGACTGGTGGGAGTGTGGCCAGGGCCAGAGGAGCTGCTCCAGACACAGACGCCTCCCATGATTCTGCTCTTCCTGGCTGCAGCGTGTTATAGAAACCCACCGCATTGTACTTCATGGTCTGGGGCCATTTTGCACTGGCTGCAGTGCTGGACCACATTTCCTCAGTGCAGAGTCAGAAACATTTGTCTCTGCATCACCCACACTGTGCCTCTTGCTCACTGTGGGCTTGGAGCAGCCCAGGCTGAGGTCCTCCTCTCTTCCTTCCCACCAGGAGTCTAGCTTTGTGCGAGAGCGCTCCATCCGTCTCTTCCAAGATGTGATGGAGATTGAGGTGGGCACTGAAAAGCAGCAGATGAAGAAGCAAGTGGAGAGGAGCCTGCTCCCACTCTTCTTCCATTTGCATGATGGGATGCCAAGCGTGACCCAGGTATGGCTTTCTAACCTGACTGGTCATTTGGGGAGGGTGGTGCTGACACTCCTTCAGTGGGCCTGAGCATCAGGGCAAAGGCTGCTGGCTATCGGACCCTTTGACAGTATATCACCTTGAGGCCCAACCTCCTGGGTCCCTGAGGACAGTGCAGCGACCCCCTCCCTGTCTGCACCAGGCCCACCACTGCCTTCAGCCTCCTGCCATGCCTCCTCGTGCACAGAGAGATAGACAGCTGGGCTCCCTTCCCTGCTCCACTCCCTCCACACAGCCCTCTGCCACCGCAGCCCATCAGAGCAGACCCTGCAGACCCAGAGCTAGCAGGGTCCAAGAAGTTGGGCAGGGACATTTCCCACGCCTGCCCTACCTGGTCCAGCTGGGCTCAGCAGCAGTCCACAGCAACAAAGGCTTAAGCACTCAAGTCCCTACCTGCTTCCTGCTGTCCCTGCAGGTGTCTGAGGTTTTGAGCCCCAATCCCTGCCCCCGCATGCTCTGCCCAAGGGACCCCCGAGGTGTCTGAGCTTCGTCCCAGCTTTGGCTGCAGCTCAGAAGCTCTCGAGGGTCTCTCTTCTGCTGCCCCGGGACCACAAGATGCCTGAGATGGTGGCTGCCCCACATCCCTCCTCAGAGTGTGGAACCCAGTGGCAGACTCAGTCCCCAGCTGCATCTTCCCATCTTGGGCCAGGAAAGGCTCCGAGCTTTGCCAAGATGAGGGGGATACAGGGTCTCCTGCCCCAGGCTCTGGTGCCATCTCCACATCTCTGCTGCTCTGCAGGCCTCTCGGGAAGCCTTCCTCAGTGCTGCAGGGCTCCTGAAGTGGGAGAAGCTCAGGCACTTCATTGAAACTGCACAGACGTGGAGGATTGGCGAGTGCCTGGTAAGGACAGCCCCAAAGCCTCCAAGATCTTGTCCAGATGAGGTCTGCCCCATGCCCAATGTGTGGGATGGAAAGCTGTGTCCCGACCCATGGCTGCAGCCCAGAGCCCACTGCCTGGAGCTGCACATATGCTCCCTTTCCTCAAGCACGCTGCTCTGGCAGGCTCTTCTCCAGGCTCCTCTCCCCTTGCTCACCCCTGGGATACTGAAGTGGGCCCTGGCAGCAGGATGGCACGCCAGCATTCCTGGGGAAGCATGCCCTCCTCTGCTGCCTCCGAAGCTTGTTGCCACAGGGCTCCTGGCTGGAAGCGCTGAATGCCCTGGCAGGAGAAGGAAGGGGAGGCTAGTGCTGGGTGAAGAGCCTAGCCTGGCTGGGTAGGGAGGGTCTGCACCAAGACCATGCCCTTGTGCTCTCTCCAGCTGAGGAGGAACAGAAGCAGAGCAGAGGACTACATGCGCCAGAGCCTGCCGTATTTGAAGAGCTCCCAGGAGTCCTTGCGAGAGGCAGCAGTGAGGTTCATTGGTGAGCCACAAGCTCTCCTGGGGTCCTCCTCTGTGCAGGGGCACCTTGGCCCCAGCCCCAGCTGCTGCACTGGCAGCGAGAACCAGCACAGTGACTGCTGAAGCCCCGAGAGCCTGATGCAGGCCCTGGGTGCCCAGGGACTCCGTGTCACCCTCTGTCACCCCTGCCTGCTCATGTGGGGCTGTGGGGAACTTTGTTCAGTCTCACACGCCCTCCTTGGGTGCTGCGCCCTGGGGACCGCCCCAAGGTCAGCTCTGCCCGAGGGACAGAGGGTGCGTGGCCAGACTGGCAGGGCCAGGGGAGAGCTGTGCTGGGGCTGGGTGGGTTGGGGAGCAGGATTTGTGAAGGGCTGTGTGTGCCTAGGGCTCGCTGGGCGGCACATGAAGGACCTGAGCGAGGAGAACCTGCAGCACATCTGCAAGGGTGAGTGAAGGCAGCAGGGGTCAGCTGGGGCTAGCAGGAAGAGGAAAGACCCAGCAGTGAGCTGCAAGTGGAGGGGGCTCTGCTCCCAGGGTGTGTGTGGGTGGATGGGTGGATGGGTGGGTGGGTGGGTGAGTGTGGTAGTGGGGGGGGGGGTATTGCAGGGACATTTGGGCATTCCTAACCAGGAATTTCCAGCTGATCCATTTGTCCCCCCTGCTCCCTCCTGACCCTGGAAAGAGCTGGGTGGGACTGGCCCTGTCTAGAGGGGAGGTCAGGGGCTCTGCAGGTACAGGGGTTTGATTGCTTCTCTGTCACAGTCCTTCGAAGCTTGGAGAATGACACCAGCCCCTCAGTCTGCTCCCTGGCAACTCAGACCATCTTGATCCTGAAAGGAAAAAAGTCAACATCAAGATTTAACCTAGGAGCACCGTGCTACTGGCTCCGGAGAGTGTGGAAGAGGTGGCATCCTTCGTGACATGGCTCTATTTGAGCAGAGCCAGAGCAGCAGTCCTCATCCCACAGTGCTCTACCCACTGGGGCCATCTGAGCGTGCTGGAAAGCCTGGGTCATCCCTGGCATCTCCCTCTGCCTACAGGACTGCTCCCCACCTCAGGCACATCCCATCCCCGTGGCTATGTCCTCACAGCAATCCTGTGCTACCAGAGCAATGCTGTGGGTTAGCACCTCTTTGCTGTGCTTTCCCCAAAGAAGCAGGACTGTTTCTTCACCAAGTGTGGATGTCTTTTCTTTCTGAGGACTAAAGGGCAAAAACTCAGTCCTGAAGGAATCGGGAATCCAGAATATGGCAGGACATCGAGTCTTTGCAGCAGCCTGTGGCAGTGCAGAGCATACCCGCACATTTTGTCTTTGCTGCAAAGCACCAGCTGCCCTGCTGGGCCACAAAACACAGAGGGAAGGAGGAGAAATGCTTATGCTTACCCTGTCTCTGCAAGGACATACCAGGGCCAAGAGCACCCGCTGGTGACTGCAAGGCTGGCAGATCCTGTGGAAGGGGTGGGATAGTAGATGGCATGCAGCTCGAGACTACTAGCTACCATAGGCCCATGCCTGGAGCTGCATGGCTTTTGTCTCAGGAGGTCTGCCCTGAGAGTGAGGGGAAGTAGGGCAGAGTTTGCTGGAAAGGTCCCCCGCTGGGGTCAGTCCCTGCTCCAAACACCGCATCACCTTTGGAGGTGCCAGGGGGTCTTTCTCCAGCAGGCCTTGGTCTCAGCACAGCAGGAAAGACCGGATGTCTTAGTAAGATTCTGCCTGGAAAACCGATAACCACTTCTGCCACTCCATGACCAAGGAAGGGCACAGGGCTGTCCCCTGGCCTGCGCTGAGCTCAGCTGATGTGGCTGAGGCCAGGAGCTGCAAGGCCACCATGACCATCTAGCTGCAGCAAAAAAAATTGCCTGCCAAGCTAGGAACGGCACGTAGGGGAGCCTGAGCTCTGATGCTGCTGCCCTGGCCAGCAGCATCAGAGAAGGAGAGCCCCTGGGCTCTACATGGTACACAGAGGGCCCAAACGGCTGTGCCCAAACAGCACAGGATTTGGGCCTGGCCAGACACCAAGGCAACAGAGCCCAGAGCTCTGCATGGCCTCTACAGACTCCATCCCCTCCACAAAGGAAGCTCTCCAAGCAAGGTTACTTCAAAAGCCAAGTGTAGCAGCTGGATGATGTTTGACAAGGCACCTTCAAAATAACAGTACTTTATTTGCCTAGAGTTTTCCATGGTTGAGACGAGGGGTTGAGAACTGATGACTCATCTCCTTCAAATATCCCGGTTCTCCATGGCTACAATGGCTATTTTCCCTGATCCGCCAGACTTCACCTGAGGGCCTCGCCGGAGGCACCAGGTCCCCAGCACCCTTATGCCACCACGTCCCTCCCAAGGAAGTCAGTGCTGCAAAGCAGACGCTTCGCTGTATCCCAGCCATGTTCCCCTTCAATCCAAAAATGCCCTCAGACCCAGGTGTGGAGCCAAGCGACAACCCAAACACAACTCTTCTCCATGTCCCAAGTCAAGCTGAAAGATAACTTTGCAGCCTCCTAAAACTCCAGTATTATGGCCAAGGCATAGTGCTTCACGCTACAAGGAATTTCTGCTTTCAGAAGCAGAACCCAAATGCTTTCATCAAGCTTCCTCTCGGAAAAGACGACTGGACTCCAACACAAGCCGAGTCAGTTTTTCTACCATAACCCAGAGGGTCTGCTTGCAACCTGTTGGTCGCTAAAACCTCTTTGTCGGTGACCAAGACACAAAGGAGAAGAAACCCCGGACTTGACTTTAACACAAGCCCTGACTCTCCAGTTCAAATCAGCAAGGCAGACTTTGTGTCCTTCTTGAGCTTCTGCTCATGCTCTCCTGGTGCAGATCCACTTCAAGGATCAGGGAATTCAAGCCAGGAAAGAGGGGCTCTGGTTCACAGAAGCTGTGAGTTTTCTCCTAGCACATCACCAGATGCACAGGCTGTCAAGAGGGCTCCACTGGTACAGAACTCTATTCTGCAAAAAGTCCAACTAACTCGGGAGCTGCCTTTACTCTAGCTGATCTGGAGGACACTGATCCGCACAACTTCCGTGAATTTCACGTGACACTGGCACGTCTGAAATGCTTTACCCTTGTGCAGGGCTTTTCCCTTCCTCCGTTTTCTGGAGGGACGCTGTCCTCTGCTGTAGTTTTCTCTGATGTTGAACTGTTTCTGGAGCCTCTTTAGCGGAGCTTGCTTCCACACTGCTCCTCGATGCCCTCTGGAAAACAGGCCATGCTTATTCTGTAATTCCTGCCATTCCAGCCCCCTCAGCTGGCAAGATTCGTACTCCTCCCACCTGCTAGGTGCCTTCTTGGAGCCCTCTGGCCTGTTCTTCTGGGCAAGTGTGGCTTTTTCCAGGCAGCGAGCTCAGGTTTTCAGCTTGCTCCTTTGGAGCCTCATCCCCACTGGCAACAGATTCATCCAGCTCTAGCACCTGTCTCACAGCCTATTGATGCAGTGCCACTTCCTGCCCTCATCCTTGCTCATATTGTTCTCCCCTTCTGGAGATCCTGGCACTTCTCTTTGCTTTTATTCAGGTTTCCGTTTTTCCATTGACATTTGCTCAAATCATTTGCTTAAAACGCTGCAGGATGATTACACAAATATCTATTACACAGCAGTCAAGACAAATCCCCCCCAGCTTCAACACAGCCTGCTTAGCCATGCAGGCTCCTGGAGGTCTGGCTGCCAGGGCTCAGGGCCAACTTAGAGCCAGCACAGCTGAGGGCAGCCCCTTCCCTCCGGTGACCGTGGGGAGGAGGCTCCCAGATAGTGTTGTGGGGGGTCACAGCAAGGCCCAATCCCCAGGCCCCGGGAGCTGCTTTCAGCTATGGTCTAGCGTTTGGGCCCCACCTGAACTCCAGCTTCAGCTGCCTCACAGCCATGCATGGGCCCTAACGATCCAGATCCGGCCCTTGGCCCACAGGCTGACTTCCTAGCTGGACGTCAGCTCTGTCTCGTCACCATAGAGCTCCCCAGCCAGCTGAACTGTAGGCTGGAGCTGTCTCCCATCCCTGCTCATGTCCTGCTCCCTTTGCTCAGGGACTGAGGTCCCTCTGAATAGCAGCACAGCCATCCCATGTATCAATCGCTCCTCCCAGTTTTGTGTCATCCGCAAACTTGCTGACAGTGCACTCTGTCCCATCGTCCAGGTCATTAATGAAGAGGTTAAAATAGTATCGCCCATAGTATCAACCCCTGGAGTACACCTCTAATGACTTTGTGCCTCTGATCACAATCCTCTGAGCCGGGCACTTCAGCTAGTTTTCAGTCCACCTCATTGCCCACTTATCCAGCCTATACTTCATCAGCTCGTCTGTGAGGATGTTACAGGAGACGGTGTCAAAATCCTTACTAAAGTCAGGATGAACAACAACCACTGCTCTTCCCCTCATCCACCAATGCCCAGTTTGTTTGTTTGAAGGGATGCGACAAGGAAGGCTAAGGCCCAGTTGGAATGAAATCTGGCAAGGGATGTCAAGGACAACAAGAAGGCCTTCTTCAAATACATCCAGAGCAAAAGGAAGACTAGGGAAAACGTGGGCCCGCTGCTGAATGGGGCAGGTGCCCTGGTGACAAAGGATACAGAGAAGGCAGAGTTATTGAATGCCTTCTTTGCTTCCGTCTTCACTGCTAAGGCCAGTCCTCAGGCATTCCAGACCTTGGAGGCAAGAGAGGAAGGCTGGAGAAAGGAAGACTCTCCCTTGGTGGAGGAGGATCGGGTTAGAGATCTTTTGTCCAAACTTGACATCCATAAATCCATGGGCCCTGATGGGATGCACCCACGAGTGCTGAGGGAGCTGGCGGATGT